AACTGCGTATTCCTTCGTGAAGCAGTTGATGACTGTTTTTTGGTTTCCGTAACTCAGATGTCGATATTTCTGTTCGATCGATATTTCTGATTGTATCATGATGCCACAACTTTATTTACAAATATTGAGATTTCGAACTGAAACCTTATTTTAATCAAAATAAAATATAGCTTAACGTTACTAAAGGATAGCGTGGCTCTCTATTACTGAACATTTTCTTAGAATTGGCTCGATAGTTCCAGAGATTACCCTCTACATACAAACAAATTTTACCTCTTTATAATATTGGTATAGATACAGAGATAGATAGCATAGATTAAAAATTTTCGATAAGAATATATGTAGTAGATTTTCTTGTAATGTGTCGTATATACTATCGAAAATAACGTAAAATGTTTTCCGAATGTTGTATTCGAATCCCTTGCACTCGGACTTTTTCTCAGTTAAACGCACGGACATAGGAAATAAAAAATGTACAGCGGGAAGTAAAAATACGACTATAATTGAAAATATGATTATATGTTTGAAAATAAATTTTTAGAGTTTCAACGCTTTGAATATCTAATTTATTGTGATAGTTTGTTACTCTTTGTAATCTACCAATGGCTACAATATATAAATAAAAAATATATATATATACAAAATATATTTTATTTATATAAAATATATATATATATATACACAAAATATATTATATTTATATATAATATATTATATATGTAATATATATGTTAATATATAAAAATAAGGTATTTACGTTCATTTTGGCCACAATGCGCATTTTACGAATTTCCATTTTCCTGCTAAATAATGGGAGCAGCCCGTTTACCATTGCAACGAATAATCACCACGTAAATAAACAAAAAGTTGTTTGCGTTGTTAGAGAGGAGGGCCGTCATAACAAGAGTAATATCTGTTACGTGTGTGTGCTGGGAGGATATTATTGTGATTGACTTCTCGATCGTTGAAAGGTGCGCCACCGGTTCCAGACGTCCAGGGATTGCGAACGCGACCAAGGAAAACTTAATTTCCACCCAGTGGCGCGTTCATTCGCGCGTAGCTATGAAATAAACCGCAACGAAACCAAGTGCTTTTCGTTTTGCACCCACTGAAAATTCCGGAGCAGACTTCCCGAATGCCCGAGGTTTTACTGAATTTCTGCGTATTTATCTCGAATCTCGACGCTGCTTGCCGCCGAAGTGGAACTTCAGACAGCCCTTTTTCACGCGAAACCCTTCGAATCGAACTCGCGTTGCGTAAAAAATTCCGGCTTTTATCGTCGCGCGTACGTTCAAGTGAACGCGGACGGGGTATTACCGTCGCCGTTGCCATTTACGGACAAAACCGTAAGAGAAAGCGACGAAGCTGCACAGAGTTCGATCGTTTTCGATGCCTCGAAATTGAGCATTGCGACGGGGTCCACCAATCGAAAGATCGATCGAGCACCGGCCAATTACCGAACAACAATGAAATTAAAGTCGGTCGTCGAGGTTCTGCGTACTACCCTCTCTTTCATGTGTTACGAAGTGTAAGCAAAATTCGACGGGTATAAGCGGTTCGAAGCAGGCTAAGTGGTTCATTTTGTTATCGCTACCGGTTTAGTTTAGTACATTTACGGTAAGAAGAAGATTCATTAGTACCTAAATTTTCTTAATAGACGTAGAGGGTACGAATGTTTATGAACTGTTTGCGTACTGGTGGTTCATAAAGAGAGAACAAAAATTTTTGCCATTTTCTGTGTTATTTATTGAGTATACATAATTATGCCAAACACTTCCGGATTGTTTCAGAGGAGAATAGAAATGACGAAACGTTAATATTACAGTAAAGTCATATTTTCGATCACTGTTTCAACAAATAATGTTAATAATTAATGTAACTATTGTCAGAAGTGAATTTTTAGTTACTCCAGCTAACAAATATAACGATGTTAAACATTTCTCACGATTTCTGTGTTCGATGAATATGTACTTATTCCGGAACGTGATTCTTCTTAATATTTAATCGAAGACTGAATGTTACTATATGCATTGTAAATATTCCATTAATTCGGGGATGTACATATTAGGTTGTCCTAAAAGTTTCTTCCGCGACTTGCAATTCAGTTATTTTGTGTGGCAGTGTTTATACAATTAGACAACCTAATTTCTTAGATGTTAATGTCGTAACTGTAATGGACCAAAATGAACTGTACACAATTCAATAATGTAACATTATACATAAAATGTTGTGCATGTATTACTATCTACGGAAATGGAAGAAACTTTTGGGACAACCTAATATTTCATGCATTTAAAGTTTCAGATTACTATACCAATGTTTTTCGAGAAAATAATATTTCATTAAACATGAAAAGTTGAGAAAAAGTAATCGTGAGATATTTTTCTATATTTTAATATGTATTGATTGGAACAATTAAAACTTAATATCTCCGATATCATTAAACATTTGTGATACATAGAGTATCATTCAGTGTTCCATTAAACATTAATAACAATAACGGTTCTGAATAAGTATTCATTCGAGACATTATTATTAATCGTGAGAAATTTGTCAATATTTTAATACATATTGATTGGACCAACTAAATATTAATTTGTGACAATAGTTGAATTAATTATTAACAAGACTTATTATTTAAACAATGATGGAGAATATGATTTTGCTGTGATATTAATGTTTCACGAATTATTTTCTCGATGGATTCAAGGAGCATTCGAACCGACCGTCACGCGGTTGTTGACAACTGTTGGCAATGGTTGCGTGGGAAAGCGGAGTGATTTGTTGTTTATAATAATTCGGAGTTCAGTTCGGTCAAGACAATTGTAAGAGTCAGTCAATAAATAATACGTTGTCAAACTGCAATACGTTTTAAAGTCATTAGATTCCTACAGTTAGCTTATTTAAAGTGGTTACTAGAAATATATTTTTCTTCGACCGATGACGATATTGTTAACCTTTCTGGTAAATTTGCTTACTTATTGTTTTATAAATTCATTGATAGCATTTATCAACATTTTTCAGTCGGTTAAAATGGAAACTTATTCAGTTAGCTTATTTAAAGTGCGTAACTTATTATACAAGGTTATTGTACTACTGCTTACTTATTCCTAGCTTATTTCCATTCCTCTTATCATCGTCTCACATGACTCCTGCACTGTTTTAATACTGTTTGCAGTATTTCTTACTCCTCCTCTATTGGGGCCCTCTGGCCCCCCTCTAGCTCGGGTACCTCGGGATTGCTAAACCCGTACTGTAGCGGCATATTCGCATACTACAGCCCCTGAGGGTGAGAATAGTCATCTTGCATTTATCAGGTCAATCCTGTCTTGAATTTATCCAGTCTTTACTGTTGTACATACTTGTCCTTACTATTTAATTTTATATTAATATTTACTAGTCTTTTACGGTCCTACTACGATAAAACAATCTACCATAACTGTTATATTTGTAATGTTATGGACAAATTCCAAAAATCAACTATTCTTGTCTGCTTGTAGTGACAAATTCCAAACATAAACTATTCTTGTCTGCTTTTAGCGATAATTCCAAAAAACAAACTGTTCTTGTCCGCTTGTAGCGACAAACTCCAAAAACGAACTATTCTTGTCCGCTTGTAGCGACAAATTATTAGGTGGACTGGAAAGTAATGTCGTTTTTACCATCTTAAATACTTGTTTATCATTCATCAGCTCATTGATTTTTCTGCCATTGAAAATTTGCACACTAGGTGACGAAAGGCTTGCTGACAGTGAGGGCGATTATGTAATGAATTAAACATAGAAACTTATTGGAAAGTTTGAATTTAATGTAAAAGAAACGACGTTACTTTCCGCTGGTGGATTACAAGTAAAACCGGCTGCGAGGAGTACGACGAAGGGACACGGAAAGAAGGGGGAGAAAGAAGAGGACCGAATGTGTTGAAATAGAAGGTTGTAACGTGCCAGAACCTGATGGATCGAGAGTTCGCGTAGAAGCGAGACGGAAATGGACCGCGGCAGGGAAACGCAGACGAAGGAGGAAGAGGACAGGGACAAAGAAGACTTTCCTGATCCCCTTGCTCGTCAACCGAGAATGTCAGCCATCTGGCATTGTACCGTGTACCCATGCTTCCCAACCATGGCGCGCGCTGTCCAAGCGTGTGTACTCGGTGGCGCCTACCCCATGAGGTCTCTGATAGTAGCAAAAGTAAACAAATCCCCTCGAACGCGATTGTGACAGACGAACCGGCCATGACCGGAGGAATCGTGCGTACCGAAACCCATATCTTCTCACAACAAACCTAAGCCTTTATCGGCGATTCCACGAACGGATACGGGCACGTCTCCCCCGGAACCTTGAAACGCTCCAAAAGCGGAACGGAGTATCCACGGGAGTTAAGAACGAAAGTGGCGTCGATTGCTCCCCTCTCTCCGTGATCTCTTGAATGAACCGAGTCTCTCAACCATGGCACAGATACGACGCACTTACTCGGCGTGTCGCACGTGCCTGTTGTGCATACGTAATGTGTATTGACACGTAGAATGACAGCACGCGGGCCGAAGTCACGCAGAGTCACCGCAACGAATCGATAAAGACCCGAGAACAATCGAAGGCTTTGTGGACGAGATTCGATCCGTTTTGACCATTTCCCGAAACTTGAGGTCGATTCAGACTATACGACACGTACCGGCACCGACACGTCAAAACATTCAAACGCGCGTTTTAATGGAACTATTCGCATTATTCCCGTTGACGGAACGTTCAGGTCGGTGTCTGTTAAGTGCGAATAGTTCCATTAAAGCGCGTGTTTGAATGTTTTGTGGTGTCGTTACCGGTCCGTGTGGTATAGTCTGAATCGACCTTTAGCCCAACATTTAAATAAACAAGGAACGTTTTCGTTAGTTTTTCTGGAAGATCTTCGCAAAGATCGGTTTCGCAGCGCATGCATCGATTACAGGTAACAGGGTGAGTGTTTAACACCGAGACAGCGATTACGGAAGAAGATTATGTAGACTCACCGGCAATGGCGACAAACAAGAAGAGTATCCACGTATCCATGAGTATGCCGGCAAGGCGTAGCTGGAAGCTGTTGTTTGCGTACGCGAGTTTGTCCATCACTGTACAGGATGCATCGTCGAACGTCGTCGGTACACGCGGCACCTGGGCTGGTCCTAGCCCCGTATTCGTCGGATCCTCGTCACGGGAATGCACCCACTGTCCGCGTAAACCGAGCCCACCACCGCGCACTGCGAAAATTCCCGTGAAGCACCCGCGGCGGTCTCGCGTGCTCGCGTCGTCTCACCACCGCGGAACGTGTCCTGACACTGTCCTTCGGCTCCCTGCGGCTCTGTCACGGATCAGACTCGCATCGTTCGTATTTCGCGGAGGAGGCACACGGCGCCTCGGTTCGGGCCACCGAGAATCGACTGGCAGCCAGGTACCGAACACGGACGAGATCTCGGGACCCAGAGGGGCACCGGGAGAAGGGGGGCACTGGTTTCTTGACGCCGCCTGTGGGATGTACACACTAACTCGCGGCGTGTATCGCGAGACAGCGAATCGGATGCGATGAGATGCGCGCTGACTCGCGCCGCGTGTGCCTCTACGAGTGCCCGATGTTACTGTCGTGTGCGGGTGTACACGGTTCCATCCGCTCGGGAATATAAATACGTCGGTTTGTCCACCGGCGTCTCTACCGACAGACGCCAGCCACGAATCTTCGATGATTACGGCGTTCGTAGACACGAAACCCACGGAATCTGTTGCGGGTGACGACAGCGTGCACGAGTACGGGCGACCGTGATGTCCTCTCACCACCGCGTTGCCCGGAGTATTGACCGACTCGGCTTGGTTCGGCTCGGCTCGACACACGGTGCGCCGCGCTGCGGGCCAGGGAACAGGCGGGGAGAGATGCGGAGGGGGCGCCTGCTCTCTGACAACTACCGTACGACTGATCCTACGACGATGCGCGCGCACTCTGCTCTCGTACGCTCGCGTGAGCGGCTACCTCGAATTACCTATGTCTACTCCGAGCCTAGCCACTTTTTAAACATGCTATTTTTAAATA